TTCGAACGTCTCCATGGAGACCGTGTTGAGAGGTCTTTCTTACGAAGCCTGTCTGATATACCGGGATGATATCACCAACGAGAAAAGTTTTGAAGAACATTTGGAAAATATTAGGAAGCTGCTTCAGAAACTGAAGTTCTACCACATGTAAATTGCTAGGCAGGAAGTGACTTGCCTCGGACAAATCACCTCTGCCGAAGGTGTGTTTACGGGTACAGAAAGACAAAGTGTCAGCAGATTAAGACTGGAGATGCACCACTGTACCACTTTTGTACGCCAATGCTTTAATTATTCCAAGAGAAGCATGCTCAAGCTCTATGTAGTCTTCATTCGAACTGGTCTCGTCAGATTGCTATGAAGTTCTTTAAGGTCTGGGATCCAGGATCCTGGAATTATCAGCTGTCATTGGAATGACTTTCCTTCATGCTATTCGAACTTCCGGTACAAGAGGAAGATACCAATATGGAGTGAGTTCCAAACTTTTTTGTCTTCGGACTATAGATCAATGTTCTGCCAGTTTCCTGTATCAAGAGCTAAATAAATTATGGATTTAATGTTGGAATGTTCCAGCCAGCCAGTCCTTTCCTCAGTTCCAACTGGTCTTTCCTAACTTCTTTGTTAATCATGGGTCTGGATCAGACGATGTTGAAGTTCTAATTTGATGTGCGACAAGATTAACCGGCTCTTATTTCGCTACTGCCAGGAACAATATCAGCAGCTTTCTGGTAGGGTCTTCAAGACAAGGTGTTGCCATTTCTGTGTAAATAATCTTTCATAATATCCGATAGTATCATACTCCTGGAGTCTCTGTATCCACCTGACTATTCTTAAAATTCAAGAGCAAGATGAACCATACATGATCTGTGCGAAGAAGGAATTTTCTACCGTACATGTAACAGTAGAAATGTTCTATGGCTTTAACTATGGCAAGCAACTCTTTCCTGGTGGCACAATAATTCCTCTTCAAGTTAGATCCATAAGTGCTCCAGCATGCCCCAAGTTCTAGACCGTTTATTTATTTATTTATTTTGGATAAAACAACACTGACATTCTCTCATTGCTCACTTCCGTGTTGAAAATAGATGATTTATCAAGCTCAAGACAGGTTAGAATTGTCGCATATTTTAAAGTCTCCGGCAGGTTGTAAAACACATCCTAACATTCTTTTGTTCACAAGAACTTTTGACTGCTCTCTATCAGTTTGTGAAGGAGAGCTTGCAATGAAAGAAAATTCCTTCACCAATCTCCCATTATAAGTGCAAAGTGCACAATTGAGGGACATTTTTGGGGCATCTCCAGACTTGAACTGCCGACACACCTTCAGCAGAGGTGATATGTCTGAGTTGAGTCACTTTCTGACTGAACAATTTACATGTGGCATGACTTCACCTTTCAAAACTTTCTTGTCGATGATGTCATCCCAGTATGCAGACAGGTTTGTAGGAAAGACTTCTCAGCACAGTTTCCACAAGGTATTCGAATGTTACCGACGCATACTATAATCCAAAGGGCATTACCTTGAACTGCGCAAGTCCTGGTCTGGTAGTAAATGCATTCTTTCTTAGGTTATCAGGGTGCTCCACCTGCCAGTATTCAGTCTTTAAATCAAGGGTCGAAAACCATTTGCTTCAAAAAAAGTGTCTTCAGTTCTAGGAAGGCGGTAGCTATCTTTCTTCGGGACCTATTTCAAACTATGATAGTCAAGGCAAAATCTAGTCGAAGAATCTTGTCTCGGACCAAGCGATAGGAGTCTTCACTTTTTTGCATGTCATTTAGAAATTTTCTCACCTTTCCCTCTTTAGCAACCAGTGGACATCCTGGCTGTTGCTTGATTGGTGTCATGATCTCCCGTATTAACTGTATGCTGAGCCAAACCTGTTTGACCTACGTCAGAAGATATGCAGAAGAAAACATCTTGAAATTCTTAAATGACACATTCTGCAGTGCTCCTCTCTTCATTGCTTAATTGCACCTTCTGCAATAACTCCGAAGATAAGGCGAATGGCTCGTTTAACGCAAGTCAATGGAGTGCATGCTGCAGTCACTTAGCCTTTCCTAATTGACTTTCATGTTTTCATTTACGTTGGCAACTCTAAGCTGGATGACAATCCTCAATATGTAGACCAATGCCACGGCTACTAGTACTCCTTTTCAGTTGTTACAGTTCATAGGGAATTCCATTATGTTACTCCTGAAATTTCTGTTTTGAGGTATGGATCCAGGTAATAAAAGTTCTTTTCTTGTTGGATACTGTGATACCATCTTGAGCTATAATTTCGCGGATGCATTTAAACTCTTTCATCTTTAATTCTGAATAGGGTTATGTTCTCAGAGGCAGAATGAGATCTGCTACTTTTAAAGTCCAAGGAGAAACTGTATTTGTTTTCTTAGAAAGTCTAATTCAAGTACGCAAGGGTCTGTAACATCTGCCACATATACCGTGTGATAGTAGGCGGTGTTTCCAAGCGTGATGTTAATGTTTAACTTTCTATCAATGCTGATTTTATCACTAGACACAGTCTGTAGGGTAATGCAGGGCAGATAAGTTTACATTCCAATTGTTGAATCAAATATTTTCGGATGATCGATGGTCATATTGCAAGGAACTCCATTTATACGTACCATGATGGAAAGTCCATTACTGTCGCCACTCATTGCAGAAACCTGAAGTACTTTTAAAAGGAACATCTCCCAATATCTGAAAAGACCCGCTCTGCAAGATGATTTGTTTCCGGCATCCTTACTGGGGAGTGGTCTTAGTTTCTGTGCTTTGGGGCGTTCTGCTGTTCCTTTGTGCTTGGCTTTTAGCAACACAGTTCCAGCACTTTAGGGTCAGCTTCTTGTCACTCTTGTTCTGTCTCAAGGCACTGACTTTTCTGGTTAAATTGTCTAAATGAACAGTCACTTGAACTCCTAGATCCTGGACTTGAGCAGCTCTAATTGGGTGGTTGTCTTAATGAGTTGCTTGCTGGGATGCCTCGAATTAAATGGCATACACTAAAGTGCTTTTTAGATCCTTTACATCCACCTTTCGCAATGCTTTTTGTATCTCAGGTTCCTGGATGCCTATTGGGAGTGTTTCCGGGGCTTTTGTAAGCGAGATTTCAGCTGGAACTAGCTAGTCTTTTAAACACTTTTTGTAGAAGTGCAGCTTCAAAAATCTAGCCTCTAGTTTTGAGACATAGTTTGAAGGATATCCACTGCATCTACTCACACAGAAGTAGTGAGATGATAGGCCTTAGTTTCAAAATCCCATCCATTTGCATTTGCCACTACAGAAAACTGAGTCTTATTATATACATGCCAGAAGATTTTTCCATCATACATGGGTTAAGAAGCCACAGGTACAGATTTAAAGGCATCAGAATTGTATCCAGCTGTTGTTATAGATTTCTCCGAGTTGTCAACAGGAGCAGAAACTGTGTCATCAGTTTGTAGTTCATTCTTTGATTTGTTATTTGACAGCAGAAACTCTTTATTGAATTCTTCCCACTTTATCTTCAACCATGTCTATTCTTTCCCACTTTACCTCAAACCATGTCTACTCTATCTTCTATAGCCTCGAATTTGTTTCCTATTATGGTAGAAATTTCTCTTTCAATTTTCCCTTCACCTGCTTCAATCTTGGCACGAGCAAATAATAATAGTCGGTCTTTATGTGTTCTTTTTAATGTGCTATATTTATCATCAGTACCATCTCTCTAAAAATAACATACACTGCAATTTTTCCCTTACAAGTACATTGTAAAATTAGTAAGAAAAGTAGGGAAAATATGCAAATAAATAAGGTAACACCTTCCATACACAACATGACTAATAATGTTGATTTTTGATGATTAATAAAAAACTTGTTTCTGCCCATCAGTAAAATGATACTGCAAACAAAATAATATGAGCTATAGATAATAAATCTTTCATTATTTTTATATAAAATCTCAGGTTATTTTTTTGGGGGGGGAATAAGGGATTTTCACATCCCAGACAATCCTAAATAACAAATTTTATCAATTTTTCTCCCTAATATAAAGTTGAAGTATTTATCTTAAAAGAGGCGAAAGACTAAGGATTAGAATGCAGATTGACAAGTTAATTAAAATTGCAATAGATTTTTATTACAAGCTCATTCACTAAAATACAAAAGAGGCAAAGCTAATACAGAGGAAGTTTACACATATTTACAAAGATTTTGGTGCCATTTAATTAATGTTTAAAATGTAGAGCATTTTTTTTTTTTTTTTTTTTTAAATGTTTGATCTGAGAGCCTTTTTCTGGATTAGAAGTCTGCATCTTGATTTCTATGATACAAGGGCTTTTCTAAAATTTACAGGGGCAACAATTTCCCTTCATCTTCCAACTTTCCAGAGGCCATCAGTTGTGGTGGGTTTGCATTTAGGAGCAGCTCTTTTCAAGATTCCAAATGTACTACAGTCCATAAGTGAAATATCAGGGGACTTCGCAGGAATATGTAGAAATGTATATATGCAATAACTGTATCAGTCTTCGTTTCTTCAAGGAATGTAGAGGTACTTTTCAAAGTATAACTTGCTGCTTTGTCTTGATAGAGTTTCACTCCTTGAAAGTCATTAGGATAGAGAAAGGGAATTTCTTCTTTAAAAACTGGATGCAAAACTTTCTCTTGATAATAATTTCATTAATTTTAACATTCCCTCCCATTCACTTTACTTTTAATTTCCCATTATATGAGACAATTATAAAACCCTTACTGGAGCTTTTTTGCACTCTTTAAAATTGTTATAATTTTGCCTATTACTGAAATAGATAATATAGTTTTTTTTTTTTTTTTTTTTTTTTTTTTTTTTTTTTTTTTAAATAGGTATATACGAATCACCTACCTGGGGATACATCACTCATAGAAATGTTTCAAGAAAATTTGACTTATGCATTTGGTATACATAAGAAAAAACAGAACATGTACAGTTTTGTTTTCCATTCACAAAACAAAACTAAGAAAAAAACTATTAATGTTGTATAACTGCAAATTTTTTTAAGAATAATGCCAACTTTATTCAGTCCATTTATTGGTACAATGAAATTATACGTCTATTTGTAATATACATGTCCAATGAGGTAAAAAATGGCTTATGTATACAGTTTTTTGCAAAAATGAACTTTTTTAAAGCTATTAAAAATTGTTAAAACATTCAGAAGGAGAAAACAATTTTAAGTCACAATTTAATTGCCCTTTTTTATACATACAGTGAGTACAATGTTAACAAAGTGTCACATTAGCCATATGTCTTTTGTGTTTCTGTACAGATGTCTGGGCCTTTGATGGCCATTTTGTATTTTTCACAGTGCATAACTTGCATATGATTAAAAGCACAATATGTGGAAGTAAAACTAAAGGCAATGCAAAATGTCAGTGCCTACTTTTCTTAGATTTATGTTTTCTACTTGGAGGTGATTCTGGAGACAGACGCCTCTTGTATGGAGATTTTGATCTTGAGCGCCGCGAACGTTTTGGGCTGCGACTCCTTGACCTGAAAAAGAAAAACTTATTACTTCTGGAAGATTTCACATAATAATAATATTTTTATGCAGTTTGCTTTTTGCCTTCACAGGGCAGGAAGTTTCTTTTTATAATTATATATTTTTTCAAACAAGCACATTATTCTCCAAAATAAAGTACTTGATTTTAATTTAATCACTGCAGTACCTAATATAATCCTATATAATTACAATAATGAATATACATAAAAGTAAAGCATGCAATAAAAAGAAATATTCAATGTAGCATTCATAGTGACTAAGTCAGACATAATGAAGAATTTTAATACACATCTCTGCAACAAATTTCAACAACCAGCACTTGAATGAAAAAGAGATTGACAGATTGGTTTTGGAACCATGAGTAAGCAGCAATCGAACAAACTAGGGACTGACATATTGGATTCCAAGCCCCAAGTGCACTTTTTATTTAGAGGTCTAATACTTGGTTTCTGTACAACAAAACTTAGTTAGCAATCCTAAAGTCAATTAAACAACTACAACATCACAAATGCAGCACCAGAACAATTACCATTCTCTCTATCAGATTGTGCCAAGCCATATCTCACCTTGATGTAACAGTGAAAGATTACAATAGTTTAGTTTGCCTATGTTGTGGCGGTGCTTCCAATATTTACCAGTCTATCACTTGATCTGTATATAATGTTAGCATCCGGATAACGGTGAGACACATAGTGATTAACTTACACCTTGCAGTTAATAATGTATTAGCATTACACTGACTGAAGATAAAAGTTTATGGTGACATTCATGAACAGAATACAATATTATGAAAATTTGCTGTCATCTCGTAGCTACCATTTTCTATCTTTTCATACCAGAAAGTAAGATGGCTGGTCATTGGCATAATAAATAATGATCTATTACTTACAACACACATTTTCTCTTTTAAGATATGCATATATTTTATTTTTAATCGATTATGCAGTTTCTTATGTTCCCAATACAGCTCACTTTCTCTACACCAAATATGACATCATAACTTTTTCCTTCACATTTTTCTCAAATATTTTACATACAGGTTATTATACATCTGGGATAATTTTTTATTGAAGAGTTATGTGGTCTTAATCAGATAATCAGCACACTGTCTCTTAATTTCACTGGTGGATCCTTCCATTTGTATAAAAAATCACCATTCTATTATACATAGGAGCGTGCACAACATAAATATGGACAATGTACGAAAGAGGATTTAAATACAACAGAAAACAAAGACTTTCAAACGCTGTATACGGCAATAAATATGTAAATATATAGTATTCAAAAATTATAAATAACTTCAAAACATCCTGAAACATGCAAGTATTATTTTACTTGAATAAAGGTCAATTAAAAAACTAAACAATTTTAAATTTCCACTGAGCTTAGCTTCATACATACCTTTTAATCTTTTTTGGTGAATGAGACCTATAAACTTTATGAGGGGAATGTAAGTTCTCAGCTGGAGAAAGAGCAACGCTACGTGGGCTGACTTTTCTGGTTCCAGATGAGTAGTAACTTGGGCTTTGACTGTGATCTCCTTCATCTGTAGATGGAGTTTGTGCTCGAACGACAGGTGATGAAGAGTGTGATTTATGTCGTTTGTGCCTCTCACGCTCTGAGCCATCATTTCTCTCTCGCTCCACCTATATGAAAAGTTACAATTAACTATGAAATGAAATGTTTTATACTCACTTTAGTTTTTCAAGCACAAGAAAATAAATGCATAGAATGCTATTCAACAATCTTGAACACTTTATACTAATTCATGTTTCATGCGTCTTCGTAATTGAAGGTATGTCTTCTTAATATGCAAGTATTAAATCAAAATATAAGCCTCATGGATATAATATCTAAATATATGCTTAGCTAATAAGAAAAGTACTTTTTTCATTCATTTTCTCAGGCCATCACATAAGGCTTTGGCAACATATGAAATTTGCACATTAGAGATTAAGTGATGAAGTTTGCTAATTTTGGCGAGTAAGTGGAGTGGCCACTTTATCAAGAAAGCACCTTAACTATTGTTGTTCAATTCCTTTCCCATGTGCATCCACTACTAGCTCAGTGAAGTAGTATTTAAGTAGACCAATGACTTTGAAGATCTATAAGTTAAATCTTCCACATGGAAATCAGACTGAAGAAAAAGAGCAGGAACTCACTGTCTTAATGCACAGGCAATTCAAAGAAAAATTATTCTAGAATAGCAGAGTCCAGGAAAACAAGCCAGTGTATCAATAAAAAACGTACAAAAACAAACCACACTCAGTTAAAGAAGAAAGAGTACAACAATACAGAATATAAGAATACAAAGAATGCAGTTCAAGAGAAACAAAAACACTATAAACAAGAAACCTTGAAAAATCTTTAACTAAAGAGATGAACTGCATAAAAGTAGAAATAAGCTCCAAATATACCGAATCCAGAACTCAGTAGAAAATATAAACAAGTAATATGCAAAATACATTATACAAATAAAGAAAGTTGTACAGATACAGCCTAAGACTGAAATGTGTAAACTTAATAGCATATCTAGCAATAAATAAAATACAAAGTCATAATATACAAAAAGCAAAGAAAAGAGAATGAATACATAGATTAGATGAAAAAATACTAATCATTTAATAAAAGTAACTTATTTGAATGTAATGACAACAGTCATTTTGTCTAGATACAGTTTACACATTCACATTATACAGAGGTGGGGAACATGCAGCCTCTAGCTCTTGTATTAATTACTATTTAATTATCTAGATAACGAAAATTTAAAAATTAACAGAATTAAATAATGTGCTGCCATCTGTTGAGCATAACATGAACTAGAATGCTGATATGTTGCAGTTTTAGTCCTTCATAGTCAAATTACTGCCATTTTGGCACACTTTTCAGTTTATTAAGATCCAATAGAAATTATTCTGTTTTGTACTTATTTTTTGGCTATGGCTCACCCCTACCTGAAATACCCTAACCCTTTTGCCATAGCAACTGCCACCCACCAGACACTGTGATGGTAGGTGTTCACAGAGACAGGCGGTACCTACTTTTCTCCCTCTACCCTGCACTTCTCAGCTTCTCCTGTATGTTGCGGAGTTGGTGACTTGTAGTTACCTGTACATGCTTGTAACAATCCCGTCTCGTATTGCTTTTGGCCACTGAAAAAATCTAGTTATTGCTTTACTTATTCTAAGGTTTTACTAATACACAGCTTTATTGTATTTTTAGAATGTATACGTTTTGTTAAAGATACTACTCGATATTCGTTTTTTTCTCAATCTTAAGAAATTGTAAGAGAAGAAAATTAAATGAAGAAAACCAAATCTTTAATGTAGAGTGGGTGTTAGATTATTTCTTTACTTCTGTGAAAGATAAAATAGTGTATTTATTGTGTAATAGAGTTTTAACTACTTTGAAAAAAGCAAATGCAAATAAACACTATTTGACTCGCATCATTAACAAGCATCTTTTAATGCTTTTGTAAAGAAAAATACCACTGCAGTTGCTGTTACTTACAAAATAGCACGTGTACTTGGAAAAGAGGCAGATCACTTAGTGATGTAGAAATAATTAAATCATGTATTGCTGAAACAGTAAGCAACGTTAAATCCCGAAATTCAAGAAGAACCATAACAGACTGGCAGCATAAATTAGCTGAAAACGTAACAGAGCAACTTCATACAATTATACAAAATGAAGATGTTTATTTTTCAGCTGAAGATACTTTATTTATGCTTTTTCAAATAAAGATGATTTATATAAATGAAAGCATTTAAATTTGTTGCCTAATTTAGATGAAAGTATTATTAAAACTTGACTCGGCACAAGTTTTATATTTTATTCGAGCTGTAACTAAAGATTTTCAGCGTTACAAAGAACTTCTTGTGCTTGAGTACACTTACTGGAAGCACTCACACAATTGACATTTTCAAAAACTTCAGAGAAAAATGCCATCGATTACAATTAAATTTTAGTAATTTAGTCAGTGTCTGCATCGATGACAGGTAAAAAAGAGGATTCGTTGATTTAATTACAAAAGGAAAACTTGAAAAATCTGATACCATTTCACTGTATTTTGCACAAAAGTAACCATTTTGCAAGACACTCTGGATAGAATTATTTCGATTGTCAACGATATTTACGTAAATGCAATGCATTATCGTGAATTTCAGCACGCTAAATTTAGACTAGGAAACGTACAGTGTTGATCTGCCGTACTACTGCAAGGTTCGCTAGCTATCAACAGGACAAGTTTTGATAAAAGTTTTAACTTTAAGATGATAAACTTTAAACTTTTATCAAGAACAGGGAAAACTATGTGATCTATGAGATGAAGCATTTTGCAGAAACATTGCATTTTTTGTCTGAACCATACATATGAAATGTGGCAAAAGATCTAAGCATTTAAAAAAAAAAATTAAAAATTTTTCAAAACATGTCTTGCTGGGATATATCTGGAGAACACTTCCTGTAGCTAGCAAAAATGTAAAAATAAAACATTCAATGAATATGTAGGTGTCTTGGATTTTTTTTAATGGAAGAATATATCGTAAGATTTTCAGATTTTGATGAGTACACTTCTGCTACGAAAGTGGCATCACAGCAACATTTAGTAAATATATTCAAAGCTCCTACAAAACTACAAATAGAGTTATTTGAGTTGTGGGTAGACAGTATTCCCAAATCTCTTTTTGACACTAAAAAGGATTCCTTAGAAATCTGGAAAAATGCTGTTGGATATCCATGCTTATGAGAGCATGCACGCCGTTTACTAGGCATATCAACATATGCGGCCTCCTTTATCATTGCCTAATTTAAATGTGGCCTCTCATGGTAAAAGGTTCCTCACCTCTGATATCAACACTGCCTGGCATATACATTATGTAGAATCAACACTGGCACAGACAGGACTAACTAATTTAGTTAATGATGTTGCTCCTATTTCCTTCCTATTGGATACGTGGATAAACCCTGTTCATACCAACCTGCATGTGAAGCACCATAATTTCTGCTGCATGTATTGTAACAACAGCATTTTGATAGTGTTGGACTATTTCTAATAACACCGCAGACAGTGACATTTTCATTTTTATTTGCCCTAGTTTTTATGCAGAACTACTTTTTGTTTTGTTTATCTCATCCTCATGCAACGAAAAGCCTTGAAAATATTCTGACAAAAAAGATGACAGAAGCATTCTTGTTTACTATGAGGAAACTAATTGGGGGGGGGAGATCTTTGTAGGTTTAGAATTCAGGGCAGGATTTCTTATGTCACACAGTAACTAACTGCAATAAGATCATGCATTTAAATTTATGATAAAAATATAAAGTTTGGGATTATTAATAACATATAATACCACATACAACTATTACAAATTTTAATTTTATTTGTGTCATTTTTTGGGAGTCTAGTACAGATGATAATTTTATTATTCTGGTGAAAATTAATTGTCCTGTAATGGTGCTCCCTATTTAAACACAGCACAAAATTTGCTCTTGGAACAAATTTAAAAATAGAAAGCTATTCCAGAATTATTTTGCAAGAAAGTAATCAATTTTTTTTTTTTTTTTTTTTTTTTTTTTTTTTTTTTTTTGTTATTATTATTTATTTAAAAACTCCTTTAGAGAGCATCTGACACTGAATAGTTTTTAATCACTCAGGTTGAAAAATATGCATTATATATGCAATAATTTTTTTAGAAGATGCAAAATACATAGAAAATAAAGACCAGTGTACTGGCTGAAACATTCTCTTTATTTCAGGAAAAAGATAACTTTGAGTCATGCTATATTTTTCTCCACAGAATCATCAAAGGAATACAGCTAAATAAGTGCAAGAAATGGGTAAACTCATTATGTTAATATTGCAGCAGGCATACTACTTGTTTACTTGTTGAGAGCTAGTATTAGAAGAAGGCAGATATCAGTTTGAAATTCCACAAGCAAATATAAAGTTCTTAACTTACTCACTACGGGAAGCATATTTCACAAGTGCACATCAGCGTAGCCACTGAGGGAGGGGTTTCGAAAATGGACCAATGAGCTGCTATTGCTCTTGTGACGCTAAATCTTCGTGCATGTTAGCATATGTTGTTTACGTTATAATTTGCATTCGTTTCGCAGTTATAAATATATGGCGTAACAGTGGAAAATCTCGTAGCACTTACATTTTCTGAGTTTGATTAATCGCTGACATTTCACTTTCGCGATTATTTTCACGCATAATATTAGGATTGACGTTCACGGCATATTATGTGGATTAAGAAAATTCAAGTGTATATTTTTTTTTAATTGAGCTGAGAATGACTGAAAGTGTTACAATGAATCTAGTGTTTTCTTATTTCAGTCTTTTGATTTTTAAAGTGTAAGATTCAGAATACATATGATCTGATTATATCCATTGTTAACATTAAAAATTATAAGTGAATAAATTGAATATACTCGTTGTGAATACGATAAATTCACTCTGTTTGATGAGCATTTCTTGTGTAGACAGTACATTTAAGAGTGAACATTTATTAAATATGAAATCTAAAGCACTAAATGTATACGAATGCAAATTAGTAAAGTTCACTTTGAATAAAAATTCTGCATTGGTTATTATTATAGAACATCTTTTTCATATAGACTGCAATAAAAAAGTGCTGACTTCTATTTACATTTATAATTGGTGTAAATATTTTTCTCATACGCATAGTCTTATGTAAAGATTGCATTTGGGCTCAGATATTTTATCACATATTTCTTTCTTCATCTTATTTACCACTTATTAAGTAATATTTCATATCGATATTTTTGCGAAGTATCCAACATGTGTTTGTATTTATGTCAACCAGGTAGTGAAATCTTCATAATTGCCTATATTTGATCTAACTTCGCAATGAAAAGTTTCAGAAGTAATCGACGATACTTTAATTATTTTCCGACCATCTTGCTTAAATACTAAAGCACGCGAAAGGTCATGTGACACGACAGAAATATTACTGGATTCTCATTGGTCCATCCTAGAAGCCACTCCCTCAGTGGCTACACAGATGTGCACTTGTGAAATATGCCTACGGGAACTACTACAGGTTACTACTTAATTATGCTGCTTGCTATTTATGATGTCAATATCTATGCATGAAAGGACTGGATGAAAGTTTTGGTTTTTCTTATACTACTAGCACAACATAAGTAAAAGACTAAATGTTAAGAATAATACTACAGCACTTAGAAATGCTTTTATTAGCAGAAGTATTTTCTCAAAGAATTTCCCCAATTAATAACTGTTAAGTTAAATTTTGATTGAAATAAAGCAAGGTATGGCATTTGAAGAAATTAGATTTAATTTTAAAGGTACAACTTGAAAGTTGATAAAAAAAGCTCACTGACTAATGGAGGAAAGCATCACAGGATAATAAATTATTAAAACACTTTCTGCAAGGGGGGATACAGAAGCTTTTTAATATTTTTTTTTAGAGAGATAATACTTGTTTCTCAGTCATAATTTAACACATGAACTTTTATTATATGAAAAGGTCAGATGTTCATATTTTTCTTTTTCCCAAATTTCCAGGGGGAATTCTTATTTCTGCTGGCTATTTTTTAAGTCTATATTTTTTCTAGATCATTTTGAGTTTCCCTGAATTTCCAGGTAAATGGGAATTTTGTAGTAACAAATAACACATTTTAAAGACTACTACAAAGGTACTAAAGACTGATTCACAATTAAGAGATTTTACAGAATTTTCTTTATAAAATTGAATTTCCAGGTAAATGGGAATTTTGTAGAAACAAATAACACACATTTTAAAAACTACTTACAAAGGTACTAAAGACTGATTCACAATTAAGAGATTTTACAGAATTTTCTTTATAAAACAATGTACTATTAAAACAAATCTTAAAACAGAAAAAAAGAATATACATGCAAAAAATCACTCTTGTTATGCAATGAAAATCTTATGCTTTTAGATATTAATATAAAATTTACCTTTTTTAATAGTTTTTGTCGATAATGTTCAACTTGCTCTGAAAACTTCATGTTAGGTTTCCTGGAACGTTTACCAGATTCTAATTCATCCTGATATTTCATCACTTTTACCTAAAATAAATTTTAAAATAAAATGAACAACAATTACAGTAATATAAAATATAATACTTTATGGTTAATGAGACACAAATCATTATTGCATACCACATGTGGTAGGTTGTTTATGGCATGTCATAAGTGCTGTAACAGCTTTAAATAGTATTAAAATCTTGTAGTTTAAATAATTTAAATAGATGAACATTAAGTTATTTGTGAATGGCAATATTCGAAACCAGACTCGAGTGCCACGTGCGACTCTCGCACGAAGAATGTAATTTATTTTTAAATGTTAGAATATGTTTTCTCTTTCTTGTTTGTATGTCGCCATTTTTTTGAGTGTTAAATAAAAGTTATTGCTGTGTTCCATCATTGGAATTGCTTCATTTCGTCAAAGAAAGAAGTATCACAGTCATAATTATTTTGGAGGCACCGACCGAGATCGAATAATCGTGCGTATTTTATTTATTAGTTCATCACTGAACATAATATTAGTGATACCAGATTATTACTTTCCTGTTCATATAGAATTGCTTTATTTATTAGTTCATCACTGAACGCAATATTAGCGATACCAGATTATTATTTCCTGTTAATATTAAATTGTCTTATTTTATTACCGTATTTGATATTATATTTAATATTCATTTTAGTTGTGCAGACGGTAGACATATATATATATTGCTCTATGTTATTATTCTTATTTTTTTTAATCACAATTAATGTGGTAGAGAGAATGAACTTCATATAATTTAAATATTTCATTTTTGAGGTATACGTACTTAACAAAGTGCATTTAATTTCGTGATTCCTGACTGCATTAATTAATTAAAGTAATTGAATTGAGCTATTTTGAGGAAATATAAAGAAAAACAGTGTTCGTTAATTTTAAACATAGAAACAATGTCTTACTTAGGAAGAACTCGTAAGGAAGATTTGCAAAATCTCGCGGCTGAACTGGGAGTTCATGTGACTGCAGATTTGAAAATAGTCGATTTAAAAACAGAAAAATTGTTGAAAGTGAAAGTAGAGATTATGATGAAGTATTCGTCAAAGGAGTCTTAGACACAATAATAGAAGAACGGAAAGTGAAGAGGGAGGAAAGGGAAAGAGGAAAGAGAAGAACGGAAAGAGAGGGAGGAAAGGGAAGAGAAGAAAGGAAAGAGAGGGAGGAAAGGGAAAGAGAAGAACGGAAAGAGAGGAGGAAAGGGAAAGAAAGAACGGAAAAGAGAGGAGAGGAAAGGGAAAGAGAAGAACGTAGGAGACAGGAAGAAGCGGAAGAGCGGAGAAGGAACGAACAACAGTATGAATTAGAGAGATTAAGACTTGAAGCAGAGACAAAGTCTCAAAATACCGGACAGATCCGGCCGAAAACGGAGCTGCGTCACCTTATGCAGAAATTCGATGACAAGAAAGGAGATATCAGTCTATATTTGCTATTGTTTGAAAGGCAAGCAGAATGGGCTAAAATTGATAAAGAAGAATTTGTATCTCATTTACTAGGACTACTTCCTTACGAAGTAACCCAGTTAATAGCTAGAGAACCCTCCGATAAAGCTAAAGACTATGAACACGTAAAGAATTTATTGTTAAGACGGTTTAAACTAAGCCCGGAAAAGTTTAGGCAGAAACTTATGAAACATCAAAAGAGTACCGAATCCACATGGGTGGATTTCAATTATGAAATAGAAAATTATTGCAAGGAATGGGTGACTGGTCTAGGAGTTAAGACTTTTGATCAGTTGCTAGATTTGATGGTGATTGACCAACTTAAGCGTCGAGTTCCTCCTGAAATTCGAGATCATTTCTTGATGAGTGGGTAGAGATGATTTCATCTAAAAAATTAGCTGAAAAACTTGATGCCTATGAAAACGTTTGCGGAAACTTTAAAAAAAAGCCTGTAGTGGATAGGCAGAAAGAAAGATACAATGCACTAACTCAAGGTAAATTGAGTTCAGATAATAAAAAATAAAACTGAAAACAAAATGTCATCAGGATTTAATACGCAAAGCTTGTTTCATAGACCTAGAAGTCCACGTCCAGATGATAAATATGAAAAACGAAAGACGCCACAATGCTATCAGTGTGGGTCCTATCAACATTTAAGGCCCCAATGTCCAAAACTTAAGAATAGTACTGAATCTTCTGCTAATCTTAACAGAATTAGTGCAAAACCAGAGGATAAATTTCTATTACCTTATACTAGTATGGGTTACGTAAATGGTCATAAAATTCCTATATTAAGGGATTCAGGTGCTAGTATTGATATAGTTTGTCGCAAATACATCACGCCGGAAATGCTGACAGGTGAAAATGTGTGGGTGCAACAGCCATTAGATTTGAATCCAAACTGTTTACCATTGGCTGAGATCGAACTAAATTGCGATCTTGGGCGAGTAATAACTAAGGCTGCCATTATTAGAAATGAACTCGACAAAGGAAGGTATTTATTAGGCAATCGAACTTTTGCACTGTTGAATAAACAAAGAAAGGAGCCTGATAGTTGTCCTCACCAGGTTAATGCTGTCTCTACTAGAGCTCAAAGGAAAAGAGAAATAGCTGAAGAGAAGCTCTTGGAACCGATGAAGGAAGAAAATAAAGCATCCAGATGATGTTTTTGAAGAAGAAGATAATTTACCGGAACTAAATACGGAAGATGAAGCTCTCATGAAACTGGTAAAAAATTGACTCAGAAGAAATTGCACAACTTCAGCTTGCTGATAAGGAACTGTCTAAAATCATCCAAGAAGTTAAAGAAGGTACATGCAAAAATGAGAACTATAGTCTGACAGGAAAAGAACTTTTAGTTAAAAAAACGACGGATAAAATGGGCTTTGAAAGACAGCTTGTCGTTATACCTGAAAAACTCAAGCCGTCAATTATAAAGATGTGCCACGAAGGAACTTCTGGTCATTTGGGTGTCAAAAAGACCAAAGACAGACTTGCTAGATATTTTTACTGGACGAGGTGTTACAAAGAAACTGAAGATTTTGTAAGAACCTGTGATGCTTGTCAGCGCGCTGGAAAAGGAAATGACAAAAAGAAGGCTCCAATGACATTAGTACCAGTAATTTCCGAAATATTCACTAAAATAAATGTCGATGCCGTTGGTCCGCTACCTATTTCAAAGACTGGAAAAAAATATATTATTACAGCTCTGTGTATGTCGTCCAAATATCCAGATGCTGTAGCGGTGACAGACATTTCTTCGCCATCTGTGATTGATGCTTTCTTACAGATTTTCAGTCGTATGGGTTTCCCAAAAGTGATCCAAACAGATCAGGGGACCTCTTTCGTCAGTGCTTTGACAGAGGAATTTTTGGAGCGTTTCGGCATTAAACATGTAAGAAGCTCTGTGTATCATCCGCAGAGTAATCCCGTTGAGCGATTCCATAGAACGCTAAAAAAAAAGGGTGTTAAGAGTCGTATGTATAGGAGCGACTTCGGATTGGGAGAATTATCTACCATCAGTTCTTTTTGCTCTCAGAACAGTCACACACGAAAGCACTGGTTTTACACCAGCAGAATTAGTTCATGGCAAAAAACCTACGAACGCCAGTCACTTTACTTTATGAGCAGTGGCTAGAACCGATTGAAGAAAGTAATAATGTTGTCAGTTACGTTTTCAAACTTATTAATCGAATGAAGAAATGCCAAGGAACTTGCCGTGGAAAACATGAAAGAAGCTCAACAACGGAGGAGGAAAACATGGTACGATCGAAACGCAGTGAAAAGAGAATTTGCTAGAGGAGATTTAGTTCTTGTTTTATCAACGAATCGTCAAAATAAACTAGAAGTACAGTGGAAAGGACCTGGAAAAATAGAGCAGAAAATTTCAGAAACCAATTATATTGTAAGTTTCGAGGAACAAAATGAGCCAAATCAAGTATATCACATTAACATGCTTAAACCATATTACAAAAGACCAGAAATGATTAATATGATAACTGAAGTGGAAGGAGACTTAGAAATGGACATTCCTCGTTTACCTTCCAATCCAAGTATATTAAATTTCTCGGACATCATAGAAGAGAATGAACTCGAGAAAAGGTTGAAATCCGAGCAAAATAGAAGATTTACGAAAGATTTTATGGAAATATTCTGGTTGTTTTTCAAATAATCCTGGACTAACAAACTTAGTTTGTCACGATATTGAGCTATTAAATAACGAACCAATACAAATAAAGCCATACAGACTGTCACCCGACAGACTGAAATTCTCAAAAGGGAAATACAGAAAATGCTCGATCTTAAAATTATAGAGCCGGGAGAATCGGACTATACATCTCCCATGATTTTGATAGAATCTTCATCAAAGGATCCTCGGCCTTGTATTGATTATCGTAAACTCAATGCTGTTACTAAAACTGAATACTATCCTTTGCCTAATATTGAAGAACGTATCGAAACTGTAGCAAAAGCAAAATATATTACCCTATTAGATTTATCTAGAGGCTACTGGCAAATTCCGTTAACAGAAAGAGCCCAAAGATATGCAACATTTGTAACTAGTTTTGGAAGTTTCAGGCCTCTACGTTTACCCTTTGGATTAAAAAATGCCCCATATTTTTTTAGCAAAGTTATGACTAAAGTCCTGGCTGCATGCGAAGGTTTCGCTGTACCATACCTGGATGACATTGCCATTTACTCAAAAAACTGGGAAGAGCACCTTAAAAACTTAACTTCTGTTCTAGAGAGAATACAGAAAGCAAATTTACGACTAAAACCATCAAAATGTAAATTTGCACAAGATCAAGTGAGATACCTAGGCCATGTTGTGGGACAAGGACAACGAACCCCGGATGAAGTAAAGATCCTGGCTGTAAAGGAGTATCCTACACCTAAAACCAAAACAGAAGTACGTGCTTTCTTAGGACTGGTAGGGTATTATCGCCAGTACATACCGAGATTTTCGGAAATTGCTTCACCCTCACGGACGCTTTGAAGGGGTAACAAAGGGTAACAAAAAAAAAAGGAAATATACAATGGTCTGAAATATGTGACAAAGCTTTTAAAAATTTAAAAGAAGTTGCTATGCAAGAAACCAATTCTGTATGCTCCCGACTTTGATAAAAGGTTTATTATACAAACCGATGCCTCAGACAATGGCATGGGTATAGTACTATGCCAATTAGATGATGAACAACGTGAACATCCTATCTTGTATATAAGCAAAAAATTTACTAAGTTTGAAAAGAATTATTGTACTACTGAAAAGGAGTGCGCTGCTATCATCTACGCTATCAAGAAACTGCATTTTTATCTGGATGGTCAGCAAGAATTCTTGATTCAAACTGATCATAATCCTTTGGTCTGGCTACAATCCAACGCCAAATGTAACTCTAGATTGATGCGCTGGGCACTCTCATTACAACCTTATAATTTTAAGGTCATTCATCGCAAAGGATCTTTGCACAAGAACGTAGATGTTCTGAGTAGAATTAAGTAATGTAACTCTTAGTGTATGTAACCACGTTTAGAATTTAATTTATTGTTTAATGTATGCTCAACTAATGTATTTGAACGTTCTCCATTTCTTTCTTTTTAAATGTAGTGTAAAAGTATTGTTTAAAACTTAAAATTTTTTGGCCTGAAATTTAGAAATTTATAAGAGAAATAACCTTTGCTCTTTAAGCAAATGAGCAAGCCGAGCTTATTAAACTGTCAAATTTTTACAGAACTTTTCCCTTCGGAAAAAGTCTCTCCGTTGGGGGGAGAGGTTGTAAACAGCTTTAAATAGTATTAAAATCTTGTAGTTTAAATAATTTAAATAGATGAACATTAAGTTATTTGTGAATGGCAATATTCGAAACCAGACTCGAGTGCCACGTGCGACTCTCGCACGAAGAATGTAATTTATTTTTAAATGTTAGAATATGTTTTCTCTTTCTTGTTTGTATGTCGCCATTTTTTTGAGTGTTAAATAAAAGTTATTGCTGTGTTCCATCATTGGAATTGCTTCATTTCGTCAAAGAAGTATCACAGTGCCGTGGATGAAATGAGTGTTTCTTATTAGCTGCATCAAACTGTTTTCTGCAATCAGTGAAAACTCCAATTGTAATGAAACAAAAGTATGAAGTAAAAAGCAGTATATCATATATTTTCGAAATAAACTGAGCTGTGTATAAGGTGAGAAATAAGATTTTGTTGCCAAAATTCAGCCAGAGTTACATTACCCAAATAGAAATTGAATTTAAAATCATCTTAATCCAGCCACATATGTGAGTATCATCAAATCATCAAAAGTGCAAATAATTTATACTTAACTTAGTTAAACCTATCAAATAAGCTGAAGGTGAGTGCCAATGCTCTACAACTTCCTTTTTAAAAAAGAGGTACAGCACTGCAGGAAGTTGGGGCCTACTGGCTGCCAGTAGTTTCTCCCAATGTTTGAACACATCATTTAAATGCTTTGGCAGTGTATGGCATATTTCTTTTGGTTCTGTTGCAGTAATAAATCTCAAGCAATTGCAAAATTTTCTCACTCTGTTGTCCTCTCCCTTTTACAAGTAAAATGGAATTCTTGATTTCTGCTACACAGTGGAAGATGGCAGAGAGTTTTTTAAAAAAGAGGGTTTTATCCTATTATGTTAATTTTAAACTAAAAGTTATTTTTTTCACTGAGTCATGTTATGGCATTATTTATGCTAACAACAATGCTTACAGCAAAAAGAGTGACGACGTTCATTCAGAAGTTCCTCCTAGCAGAAAAACATTTCTAAAAATTGCTAAAGAATTCCATATAAATATTACGACTAAATAAAATAAAAACAATATTTTTCTTCAATTATTTAACCTATAATACCAATTTTATGATCGAGCAGCAGTTGAATATGAAGACCTGCAAGTTAATTATATACACAAATTTTTTCAATAGCTGTACCAGATGCCATATGCATGCTACTGTAAGGCTATAACACAGTACCAATATGACAAAATAAATGCCAGTGTGAGGCTGCTGACTACCACCTAGATTTTTATTGAATTCATGTGGCATTGAAAGCATCAGAAAATAGAAATATTTTCTGCAACATTAAATGAAATTGGCAGCTTTATGTCTCCTGTGTAATCCGATACTTTTCATTTTATTTTTGATAGCATATTAATATAGAATCTATTTTTGATTTTCTTATTTGTGGATTTTGTTTTATATTTATCTTCAATTTAATAAGACAGTCATTTTTTTCCATAAGGGTGCATAATATCAGTAGAGTTGCCATGTCAATATTTGCATGCAGCACTAACTGAGATTCTGGTAACCAGAAAAGAGCTAAAAATATTACAGACGCTGCATACACTATAAAATTGCAACAATGTAAAAATACAGAAAAGAAAGACTCACTTCTATTTCTCGCAATTTTGCTCGTCTCTCCTCATTTAGATCAGACTTAAACTGCTCAAGCATGGCAGAAGAATCTTTGCTGTTTTCGTCTTCTTGATACAAGGGATCATCTTGTGTCGAACCTGAATCATCCATAGGCCTGAAAATATTTCAAAGTTTAAATTCACATATTTTTATTTAAAAAAAACTTTTAATTAATTTAGAGAAAGATTAATCACACACACATACATTAAATGTTAAAGAAACTAATATTATGCAACAGAAATTGGCATAGCATGAATAAATTTGCAGGATTTTAATTTTGGAAATTGAAATAAACTTTCCTTTTCAGCAACAAACGTGGAAATGAGGAGAAACATAAATGTGCTTATTTGCAAATAACAGAGAAATTCAAAAACTTCTAGCTAAATGATCAAAAACAACACAGTCACTGACAGAATCTAATAATGAATAAGCACCTAAGAGACCAATTCTTGAATAGTTGATGGTAAAGAAGTATCGGAAAGTGAGATCATAAATGAAAGAATTTCATAGATATGATACACTTGCAGAAAATTTAATTTACTAATGGAAGACACTTTTTAAAAATAATTTTGGCTGCTAAGAAATGGGAAATGCGACTCTTTGGCAACCAGGGATGGACAATGAAGGCTGCATGACTTTTCTCCCTTCCCCAAACTAAAATCCTGCACTTTTTGGAACAAAATTTCTAAGTCTTCCACATCAGTGTAAGAGCATAAACATCAAATTTTTATCAGCATCCAAATCTCCTAAGCAGACAAACCCTGCCTACTTTTCAATATTAATTCTGACAAATCTATCACAATTTATTATATAAATGCCATTTTCATATGGTATACTGAAACGGATGACATTTTAAATCTTCTAATGAATTCACAATTTCTGGATTACTTTCTGCTTTAAATTTTGTTACAGTGCAATAAAAGCCCCAGTATTTGGCAATCAGGTAACTAGCACCCTTATGTAATTAGTATATTTAGACTTGTATAGACATTAAAAGTATGCATAGGACACTACTGTGATTTAGGAATAATGGGTAAGTGTGGTGTCATAACGCAATCATAAGCTCTTCGTATTGGTTTCATGTAAAACAGATAAATATTTGATAAGCAAGTTTAGTTTTTGTAAACAACACCACAAGTTAACTGCTATTTATTTGTTTTCCCCTTACATCACCTCTACAAAAAAGGGTGATGATTAAAATTTGGGACCAACCTCCTACGGAACAACATGCAGTGGAGTCTTTTCAAAGTCACATGATCAAGAAAATGTGTGTTAATAAGCGTGAAATTGGACTTAAGTTGAAAACCAATAAACAGTGCTAATGCAATGTGAAAAACTGTGATAAGCAATTTTTTTTTAATATCCTAAATCTGTAACTAGTACCTATTGATTACCTAACTAGTACCTATTGATTACCTAAATAATGAACAATCTATACCTTTAAACTAGTGCAAGAATCACTGATTCAAGTTAAGCAATATATTCGCCGATTTTTGTATTCAATGGGATTTCATAATTTGATAAGCTACTTTACTTTTACATGTTTAAGCCATACGATATATATTAACTTTTATGCTTGAAATGCACACCCCCTGAAATTTTACATAATTTTAAATGTAGGCATTTGATATTCAAGTCAATCTCAAACAAGATGACTGTTTTTATAATTTTAGATTGAAAACTTTTTCCATTCATTTGACATGCCGACCATGATTTACAATTTTATACAATCAACTATATATAATTTTCATACATCCAGCAATTCCTAAACCTTCTGGATAGTCAAGCTTTTACCACATATACACAGCTTGAATTTATTTACAATTATATTCATAACAAAATGGGAAATCAGGAAATTTTACAAAAGAATGAGGACAACATATTTTAGATAGGTAGAAATCAATACTAATTCATTTTAACATTTAAATTAAATGTTCTTCATAAAATTAGCAAAGCAAAAATTCTTTTAGAATGCCAGATCTGTTAAAAACATTCTGTTGTTCCAGTTAGTAAAAAAAAAAAAAAAAAAAAAAAAATAAACACTATTTATAAATACAGCAAATATTAAAAAATTGCTCCATTTTATGAAATTATAGAAAACAAAGATTATATCAAAAATAAAAACTTTTCATATCAAAGATATTAATTTTCATAATTAAATATATAAAAAAATCATAAAGATATAATTTTCATAATAAAAACTTTTCATATCAAAGATATTAATACAAAAATTAATTAAACTTGCAATGCAAATTATAATTTTAAACAGAGTAAATCCCTGATTGAACCAGGGGTAATTCTAGAGTGACTGACATCTATGGTTATTCCAAAAGCCCAGTTAATCCATTAGCAATTAAAAAATAATAACAGTAAGAAAGAAAAATAATCTATGCTATAATGAACAAATAATTCACCATTATTTTAAGCAGTTTAATTTATACAATAAGTTCATCTGGTTGTATTCATTAAATCTACATTTAAAAGAAAACAAAAACAACAACTACAAAAAAGCTTTTGTTTACATTACTCTGATATTTTGCCAGGAGCCAATAAAAAACAGATCAGTCAGTGGCTGTACACTATTTTATTTTTACAATTCAGTAATTTATTTTTAATGGACAGTTTAGCAGTAATATATATATATATATATATATATATATATATACATATATTCTAGACTATGCACAATTAATATATGTTGGGGACAAAAACAATACTAAATTCTAGGGAAACATCTGCTATTATTTCATGCATTTTTTACTTTCCTTTCTTCATTACCCACTGAAAAATTCCCTTATTCTGAAAGCTTATGCTAGTAACTTTCTCTCATTTTGTAATAAGGCCCAGTATTCTGCATCCAGGTTAATCGGGAGTTGATTGTAATTAAAATTCAGTTTAAAAATTAAACCACAAGAAATTTTCTGCAAAATCTTATGTAAACTATAAACTTACTGGCCATCAATATCATCTATCTGTTCTTGATCATCATTTTGTTCAAGAAGATCCCATTTAGAAGTGGTTATAGCTAGTCAAAAAATAAATATATATTTCAGATAAATATTTCATTTTGAAATATAAATAATTTTAATATCTAAGAGATGCATTATTTTACGAATACGCACACACACAAAGTTTGTTTAAACTGACAAATGACAAAATTTTAGTACAGTACGACCCCACTTAACGCGGGGGATACGTTCCATCAAAGTAGAGCGTAATGCGAAACAGCGCTAAACGAGGCTATCTTTACATGTAAATATTGGGTTAGGGGAAAATGGCTAGGAAATTGGTTAGGTATTAAATTTAAAAAGTATGTTTTTTTAATAAAATAAAACCAAAATTTTATTTTTAAAGCCCAAAATTAATACCACATTATATTTCTTGCAAAAATAAAAAACAAATATAAATAACAAAACAAATATTCTTAAAAAAAAAAACAATAAAATTCTCAGTCATGTTTAGTTAGCCTTTCGCGTTTTCAGTGTCTGCCTTTTTGTGACAAAAAGCATCTAATGTGTTGCCTTTTTCTTTTGCGTTGTTCTCTTAAAAGTTCTTCATAAACGGATAGAGCATCTCTAACACCACGCCTTACTTTTGAGCTCCTGTCAAAAATTCGGATCATTTTTTCAATGAAAAACTGATCCATATATTTCAGTTATGGTAGACAAACTCCTTTTTACAAACGCCATCAAAAGTTGTTTTGCTCTTCTCTGAATCACTGCTGTCAACATTTTTGTTTTCTTCTTGTTCAATTAATTCCTTTGAGCTCATCATTAGAAAGACTAGCCGCTGCTTCTTGAATTATTTCTTCGACATCTTCCACATTTACCCCTTCAAAATATGTCTGTTTCAATATCGCACCAAACAAGAAATACAAGTACACTCTTTCGGATATGTATTTGAAACCTATCGCTGCATAATATTTCGGGGAATCCCCGTATGCTGCGAGCGGTTTCGTGGAATCCCCGGGTTGAAATAAAAGAGCTCTAAACCGAAACAGCGCTAAACGAAACAGCATTAAGCAGGGTCTTACTGTACTTATATATCATTTCTAACTAGTAAATTTGATGATAATGTGGATATTGAGAATTTAAGCACCAAGAATCATGGCTCTGCCTTAATTTTGGTAACATAAAATTTCTCAAGGGTAACTGTTTCATTCTGCTACAGTTTTATCTGCCATATACAGCTCTTGACGCAATTTGAATGACATTAATTCTCTGCAATGGACGTTATAGTGGACTGCAGAAGCTGACTGCCAATCCGAAACTCCTGTACAAGGATCAAATGAAACTGTGTTGTCTTCCCTTCCCCTCATTTCTGGTAAACAACTGGGTCATCTTCTGTGGGCAATATTATCAGTAATGAGATAATTAAATGACTGACAGGTCTAGCCATTCTAAAAAAATGCTTAATGAGTAAGGGTCTCCCCATTATTCACTTTGCAGTGATTAAAAAATAAATTATATGGCTATTATAAATACAATCCAATTTTTTTTTTCAAACCAGATTTTTTAGTCTAATTTTAAGTCTTCTTTCTCTTCAATATAGCACTCCCAACAACAAGTTATCTTCAGTAATGAATTATTTTACTTTTTTGCAATTACAGCACTTTTTTGCTCTTACCAGGCAACCTTTTTTGGTGATTCTCCCAAATGCTTTCAGTTTGTTTTATTATTTGTCTGAAAATAAGTAAATAAACAGTAGCAAATCACACTGGAAAATGGAATATGTTGAGGCTGAGAACAATACTAAACACATTTTTTTTTAAAGAACATGATAAGACACAAAAGTTTGGTCACAAAAGGGAGACCAATGTTTACTGGCTAAAAAACTGTGGAACTTTTCCACGTGATCCAATAAAGTAAAAATAAAATTAATAATTGATATACATACTGCTGTGTGAATAAACTTAGTAACACACCATTTATTGATGTAAAAGAAAAATACAAATATTAACTGATTAAAAATTGGTTGGATCTTTATTTAAAAAAAAAATCAGCAAATGCTTACAATAAATTAAGACAATTTAGACAAAATTTAATAAGAAAAATTATGCTGAAAATTATTAAAGACGACAGAATGAAATTTGCACATTAAGTTTCAATAATTCAAAAAATTCATTTACAGAAATTTTTAGAAAAATGTTCTTCAGTAAAAATTAGAAGATTGTGTGATTTACCAGGAGATCTGGAGATATGGAAAACCAGTGTAGACTGTCCAAGAGAGTTTGAACCCTGCTAAGTAGTTTAATAATCACAGATAAAAGTGCTTCAAAGTATACTGTAGGACATTTCCTATCATATAAACTAACACAAAATCTGTTACTTTCCAGATGTTTGGTTTTAATAATTCATGGAGCGAATAAAAAATCGGATATGTAAATATTCTTCTGTTTACCATTTTTAACAAATAAAAAATCTTGCCAAATGGTGCAATCTAGAGCCAATATTAGACGAGGCATTACAATTGATTCACAAGATCTCTACTTTGGTTGCAAGCAATGCTAAACTTGTCAACCTACGACACTCAAAAATTAGGATATTACTTTAAGAAATCAGGAGAATTTTCTCAATTAAAAAAAAAATTACATGGTAATAATATATAGAAAGAAATTATATATTTAATAATGAATTAACTTTATATAATAGCTGATTCATATCTTAAAGTTCAGTTCATATTTCCTATATGCAAATAAAGCAAAGATATTTACATGTAAAATAAAAATTTTTATTTGTTGCTGTTGTGTGTCGTGTCTATCATTTAGCTTATTCAAATAGTGCCATAGGCGAAGATGACAGTTCTGGCAATCTACAAAATGTCATCATCTTAGGGGTTCAATTCCTTAAACAAGATCCCAATTTTTAACAACTCAGCAAGGATGGCTGGACAATCAAAAATGTGTGCAGCTGTCAGTTCTGTGTCAAGGCAATTATCACAGTTCCTGTAATTTTTCCCACCCTCTTTGTCAATTTTCAATCTTCCGAGATGGCCAGTTCTAAGCCTGACTATGGTTTTGATAATAATTCGATCTCCACTGGCACTATGGAGCTGGTGCTTTAGTGAAAGTGAAAGTTCTATCAATCTGTATTTGGCCATGGCATTTGCATTCAAGAGGGTGACATGTATGTTATTATTATCGGGGAAGATTCCGAGCCTCTTCTGCCAGTTTATCTGCGTTATCTTTACCTGTGATGTTGACATGCACTGGCAATCACTGAAGAATGCAGACCATATCTAAATTTTAAAGTTCATTTAGGCAAATATAGGTCCCGCTGGTGATCAGGGACCTTCCACCCAGGATCGCCTGTAGAGTTGCCATTCAGTCACAGAAGACAACGATTCCTCTTGCTTGCTCAGAAATGGGAAGGGATCTATATATGTCAAGTGCCTCCACTATTGCCAGAAGCTCGGCAGCACCAATTTTGTGTTGGTAAGTAGGATCACTTGGTGTGGTCAGAAATACTCCAAAAGCTCCATTAGTCATTGTCGCATCAGATAAAAAAATCTGTACAAGCATGTAGAAAGTCTTCTTTGGGATACTATTCAACAGTACTGATTCCTTTCGCTTTAACAATATCAAACAATTCCTTTAGCTGCATGGCTCTAGTAGGTTAAGTACTAAAGTTCATGGGAAACTTGGAAGGGAATGTTGGCTCTTGGAAGATGGAAAATTTGTTGTGACTGAGGCCAAGAACTACTCTAACATCTTTCTCAAATTACATAGGAGAAGACCTTTCCAGTCTAGTGCTGCCTTTAAAGTTTTCAAACATTTTCCTAGTGAAGTGTTCTGGTATACAGCTGCTTGCCTTGTTTGTAAATTTATTATGTTATACTGTCTTCTTTTTCCAAGGCATATTTATGAATTACTTTTAAATTACTGATGGAAGACATTTCATGGGTAATTATTTCTGTGCCCTTTGTCAGGACACTTTCTATTTTTCCAAGACTGTCCTGGAAGCATGAGCCAAAATGGGAGAAGCATACTCTATGATCAGTCTGTGATGTGCATAAATTAGTGAGATGTAGATTGCTCTAAGTATCCCGAGAAAAGCTCCCTGCTTTGTTCCACAAAGACTTTAAAAGATTCTTAAACTTTTCACAGCCCTGTCAGCACAGGTTTTGACATGCTCAGTGAATCTCAATTCTGCATCTAAGGCGATTCCCAAATATTTTGGGCATGACATCCTTACAATGCATTTGCCTTCAATGCATAATTTTGAATTCATTAGATTTCTGTGCTTCCTATCTGTTACAAAGACGCAGGCAATAATCTTTTCAGCACTAATCCTGCATCCAAGTTCTGCATCAACCATACAATCTCATTTCAAGATTTCTGGAATACTGCTTCAGATTCCTGAATATCTGAACTGCCCTTAAATCAATTGAGTCACAGAAGACAACGATTCATCTTGCTTGCTCAGAAATGGGAAGGGATCTATATATGTCAAGTGCCTCCGCAATAGCCAGAAGCTCGCCGCCAGATCACAGAGTCATCTGCATGGCAGGCTACTTTAAGGTTAGGGTGAATATTGTTCACATATAATGAGAAGAGAAGGGGACTCAAAACAGAACTTTATTATTAATTTTATTTTTACATACTTGCCAACCTATGACACTCAAAATCAGGAGAATTTTCTCAATGACAAAAAGATTTTTTAAATAATAAAAATATGTAGAAAGAAAATACATTTTAATAATGAATTACCGTAATTTCCAGAAGAAAGACCGCATCAGCATAAATGGCGCACTCGAGAAAAATGGCGGGAAAATAATTAAAATTACACAGAAACGCCGCAATAGATTAAATTGTGCGTGACATCGTCATGGGCCCTATAGATGCAAAATCTCAACCTAAGTCCTGATATATGATATACCAGTTAAGAAAAATGCATGAAATGAAACCATAACTCAAAATAAATTAAAGGTAAGAAATGTGGAAAATATATTTATCTTCTCGTATATACTTATATTTATCCACTAAAGAAGTCCATATTTGTAATACTCAGACTATATTATAAAAAA